CTGCTCAGGCACTGACTTAGTTTGTGACTCTGAGCTTAACCTAATCATCTGCTTTATTCTTGCCTTCATTGTTTGTTGTGGAGATTTAGCAAGAGAATACATAATGGTATGGCTAGTACCCAGGCTTTCCTAAGCACTCAATAAACTATAGAAAATATTGTAAGGTAGAACAAGATTTCAAGTCCAACTCTGATTTTAAATCTGTTATTTTTAATTACTATCCTAGTTGTGTCCCTTCTAAATTTTTTTTGAGAAGCCCAAATGCTTGGACTTAGGGAACTTTCTTTGTTTAAAGGAATAATATAAGCTCAGTGCCATCCCCAATGTGTTGTTCATTCAGTTATTCCACAGATTCTCAGCTTGCCACCCACTTTTATAGTAAAGACACATCTCCACTCGGAGCTCTGTGGAGTGTTCTTCTGTTGTAAGTACCCTCATTGTAAAAATTGCCACTGCATTCGGAGACAGTATCTCTCTTAGGAAATGCACCTGTTTGAAGTGGACACAATCTTGCAGATATTTATTAGCACTGGGCACCAGCAGGCACTAACTTCTTCCTTGTATGCAATGCTGTTAGGTGTCAAACAGTGTGAATCATACACAGTCTTTGCACACAATTGCTCACTAAATTGTTTGATAATTGAAATTTGTGTACCTACTGCCTAGCACCTCCTACAAACTCCAGAAAAATAAATAAATTGACAATTCACACCATATATTTCCCACATTTAATCACATGATTATCTGAATTTTCCAGCTTTAGGTTCTTTCTCATTCATCACTAACCTGGGATAATATTAAAATTTGCTGCAGAGATATTTGTAAATCTATATCAATATCTAGTACTTTTGATTTATGATTCTAAACAACTCAAATAAATGAACACCTCCACCTGAATGATTTATTCACATTTTTATTGTATTTCTGTTTTTCTGATCATATTTTTTTAAATGTTGGTATTCTGTGTGGCTGTTTCATTTTTTTGTATATTCCTGAGTGACCTTGCAAGGCATCATACTTCTACATTCCTATGTCACTATCTCAAACTTCAGACTCATTTCATT